AAAGGGGCTTTTTTTTTTTTTTTTTTGTTTTTTTTTTTTGTCCTTTTTGAGACCGGCCACACCGCGCTCAGCCAGTGAGCGCACTGGCCATCCCTATATAGGATCCAAACCCGCGGCGGGAGTGCTGCTGCGCTCCCAGCGCTGCACTCTCCCGAGTGCGCCACGGGCTCGGCCCTGAAGGTGCTATTTTATGCCTTAATGTTTGTTTTCTTTAGTTAGCGTATTTCTTTTAGTCCCTCAGTTCTTCATATCTTCATGAACCCAGGGTTCAAGGAGTCAGTAAAATACATATGATCTTCAGTAATGTGGTATATATTGCCACTAGCTATTGCTTTATGTTAGCCTGGGCCAATAAAGTAATGAATGCTTATTTGAGAATAGGTTTCATATATGGGGAAAAAAAAGGTCTTATACTAAATTTTAGAATGCACTATAATTATATAACCAAATCCTTAGTGGAGTTTGGTTCTGTGGTTAACAAAAAGTCTTGTACATTAAATGCAAGTCTGATGTGTTTTGATCTTTCAGTCATTTCCTTAGACACATACTTGTGAATTTAAAACACTGGGGTGCCAGTATTTGAAAGTTCAAGTAGAAAGTCACTCATGGGGCCAGCCCGGTGGCGCACTGGAGAGTGCGCTGCTTGGGAGTGTGGTGGCGCTCCTGCCGAGGGTTCAGATCCCATGTGGAGACCAGTTCCCGCTCACTGGCTGAGCGCGGTGCGGGCGCAACACCGAGGGTTGCGATCCCGTTGCTGGTCAGTAAAAAAGACAAAAAGGAAAAAAAAAAAGAAAGTCACTCATGTCCACAATTCCTCTTTCAACTTCATTGGAATTTTTAAAAACATGCATTACGTATATTTTACGTTTAAAGATATAATAAGTTTTGGGCTACCTTCATTAGTACTGAAAGCACATTCTTTTACATTTATACTTTCAAAAATTGAAAATAAAGGTGAGAATTAAATTCTTTTGCAATGAGTATCTCAGATGCATTGGGTATGTAGTATTTTTGAGCTTATATGGGCAGTAGTATACTTAAGGGTAGGGTAGCAGGAGCCTTTGCCCAAAGGAGTGTTTTATCACTGTCATTGCTACTGCTCATAAAAAGCAGACTGATTTTTCATAGGTTTTATTGTTTTTAAATTCTTTACAAGCAGTGCACCCCATATTGCCCACACCAGGGGTGACTATTCCCATTCCTTGTTCTCGGAACTCACTGCATACAGGAAACCAAATACACAATGGTGTTTGATTTTTTTTTTTTTTTTTTTTTTTTTTTTTTTTTTGTCTTTTTCCGTGTCCGGCAACGGATCGCAACCCTCAGTGTCACCCCCGCACCGGACCGGGGACCGGCAACGGGATCGCAACCCTCGGCGTTGCTCCCGCGCCTCGCTCAGCCAGTGAGCGCGAACCAGTCTGCATGTGGGATCTGAACCCTCGGGCGGGAGCGCCGCCGTGCCACCGGGCTGGCCCGAATGGTGTTTGATTTTTATAATGGCCTTCATTTTGACCCCAACATGGAAATTATAAAAAGAAATCTCAAAAACTTGATGTTATAATGTTGGCTTTTGATATTTTGCACTGTCCTCATTTGTCCTTTTTTGTATTTTTCATTTCTAGGAATTTCCATGAGTCAATAGAATTGCCACTGTTTGAAATGCTAGCAGTGTAATTTGATTGAACCCAAATATATTGAATTAGACTCAGGTATTATGTTCTACTGGTTAATAATAACACACAGTTCTATTGAGTTATCTCTACAGTACTTTAAGAGAAAAATAAAACAGTCTCACAGACTTTGTTATAATGAGCAAGATCCGTATACGCCTAAAGAACAAAACCATTCACAACAGTGAAGAATAGAAAACTATTTTTAAAAAATTTATACTTATGATTCTTTGAAATTTAAAACTCGATTTATTAGTTAATACTTGTCTAATTAAAGTAGGATAAAAGAAATTATTTTTAAACTATATTCATATAGTATTTTCAAGCTTATTACAATATATTCAAAGCAAGGTAAAAATGTAGATGTTGTTAGAATTTATTTGAGCTGAGCTGTCTTATTTTTAAAAGAACCACTTCTTGGAACCCGACCCCCCAACAACAAATTATAGGCTTGTGCTGACTTACCCTCCACTCTCCACAATGATCCAGGATTCAAATAGCTCTGAGAAGACAGATGAGTTGGGGGCGGGGGGAGATGGAGACAGAAGAGAAAGATTTATTTGAAAGCATTCCATAAACCAGCAAAGAATTTTCAAAAATATTTTGACAGAATATATTTTATTTCTCTGGCAAAAAGACTGAAACTTAACCTCAACCTTTGGCTATCTCTAAACCCTAAAGAATACTCCTGGTTAGTCCTGAATTTGCCACTTGAAAATAGACACCCACGTTTTTATAGTGATTGCTTTTCTTATGATCATTATTCATTCAGGATTATATGAGAAACCACCCTACACAGAATTTGAATGGAAATTGTGGAGCCATTCAATAGAGAAATACAAGAAATGGTAGTTTTGGATTAATTCCAACAGCCAAACAAATTGAAGAAAGCAGGACTTAAGTGATTTTTTTTTTCCTTTTTGTCTTTTTTACTGACCGGTAACGGGATTGCAACCCTCGGTGTCGTGCCCGTACCAGGGACCGGCAACGGGATCGGAACCCTAGGTGTTGCGCCCACACTGCGCTCAGCCAGTGAGCGGGAACCGGTCTCCACATGGGATCCGAACCCTCAGCGGGAGCGCCGCTGTACTCCCAAGCGGCGCACTCTCCAGTGCGCCCCCGGGCCGGCCCCGGACTTAAGTGATTTTTTTTTTCCTATTTGTCTTTTTTACTGACCGGTAACGGGATTGCAACCCTCGGTGTCGTGCCCGTACCAGGGACCGGCAACGGGATCGGAACCCTAGGTGTTGCGCCCACACTGCGCTCAGCCAGTGAGCGGGAACCGGTCTCCACATGGGATCCGAACCCTCAGCGGGAGCGCCGCTGTACTCCCAAGCGGCGCACTCTCCAGTGCGCCCCCGGGCCGGCCCCGGACTTAAGTGATTTTTTTTTTCCTTTTATTGCAACCCTCGGTGTCGTGCCCGTACCAGGGACCGGCAACGGGATCGGAACCCTAGGTGTTGCGCCCACACTGCGCTCAGCCAGTGAGCGGGAACCGGTCTCCACATGGGATCCGAACCCTCAGCGGGAGCGCCGCCGTACTCCCAAGCGGCGCACTCTCCAGTGCGCCACCGGGCCGGCCCAGGACTTAAGTGATTTTGATATTGAAGAACCATGAATGATATGCCCTAACAAACATTTGATTGTAGGCAAAATTGACAGGATTTCTCTTTATAAAACAATACTACCTCAACCATTTTGCTTAATTTTTCTCTGTGCTAAAATATCTCTGAATTTTTCTACTGAAAAACCTGTGGATAAGAGTTCCATTCGTGGTTACAGACCAGCAGCTACTGGTCTACCTTGAGAGGCTGAATTAATGTTATTCATTTTTCATTTTTGTCTGTGGCCTGCTGTGGCATTTCACTATCCTATCCTGTAGGAGTGAAAACGAGGAAGGAATTATCTGAATATGCCTGATTTATAATTTTGATAAATTTTAAGTATTGTCAAAGTTTTCTTATTTTCTAGCATGATTGTTTTT